AATGTGATGAAAAAAGCACCAGCAAATTTGAACCATACTTCGCTTTTTAGCAGGTGACCACGAATGATAAGTAATCTGGAAAGCTAATGCATTGTTATTGCATTTACTTCTTCGTGAAATAAAAGTACACAATATATTCTCTTAAAAACAAATAAAGCAATAGTAATATACTAACTGAGAGACTCTGTATATAGCTCCTTATGGATTTTTGGTATAGCATTTGAACGGGCAGAAATAGCAAGAGCTGAAATGCGAAAACACTTGCTCGTTTGTATGCTACAAAAGCTTAGATTGGATAAATGATTCAATCGCCACGAGAGATCGAGTGTATTCATAGTTATTATCAAATTGTCGGCATTGCGGAAACGGACATACTCAAGACATATCGGTAAGTATTGTCTATATTATTTATCGATACCGGTATCGTTTGGACCGTTCAATTACACGATTTTTGAAGGCTCACTATGGTCTCGTTGAATGTTCAATGTTTACTAACCAAATGTTCATTATCACGGCATAGTAATCCGGTAATGATATAGCAATGATTAGGGCGAGAGATTTTTGAATATAATTGGTTTTTACGTCCGGGTTTACCATCAATTCAACGCTTTTTGCGTAAAAAGACGTAAATAGGATTTGTTTGAATTTAATCTGCTGTGAAAAAACACACAGTTTTATTTACGGCATGAAACATATAAAATCTTATGCTAACACGTTTGCAAGTGGATTTTTTACGTTTTGGCATTTAAGCGTCGTATCAAGTACAGAGAGAATTCGCGGATGACAAACATCGTTCCAAATTTTTTGAACCACGTGAGAACCATTCATTCTAATTTCGCTCAGTCCTTCTAGCAGCTTCATTCTACACTAAGTTTTATCTCGAACACTATGCGCGTACCAGCTTTCTCCTTCATACTGCATCTTTTTGCTGTAACGAGTCTACTTGGCAGCGCTTTCCACCATGACTCAAACTCTACAAAACAATTAGCTGATCGCCAGCCGAGAGCGCAAGATTCACGAGCAAAAAGAAAAGTGATTGGTGACGAAGAAAGGATGCGACCCAAAGAAATTTCAGATCATCTGGACGCAAGCTTTTTTCATTTACTCCCCTCGCCGACTCGACCAATAGAAAATCATATCGAGTATCCGTTTTTTCCAACTAATTCAGGAAAAGAGCACACGCAGTACAAATTGGCCATCGATTTTGTGGCACGTATGGAAACCATACTTGCTTACAGCGACAAACACACAATAAACGGGCTTATTCGTGATTTCCATGCTGCTCGGAAATCGATGAACACCGGTAAGCCAATGGAGTTGGATTCACCCACTATTCGACTTATCCTCTCCGTTGCTCTACAGATCAAGCCAACTGAGAGACAAGTGGTAAATGAAGCTAATTGGAATACTATCTTGAACCGCTTGATATATTACGGTTTCAATCGTAAGGAAGTGGAACTGATATTGCGTACTGCTGGGTACAACGACGACGTGCAAGACTATATAATTTCATACGATAACATCCTGTCTGCAATGTCGACGAATGACATTTTGAGATTGAAGCCCCTGCACAACAAGACAGATATCATTGCCCGTGCGGCATACTTGCTCATAACCAGAGCAGGCGTTGGTCAAGCGCAATCACGTTTTATAGCCTCCGACTGGGAAACATTTCTGACCCTTTGCATTCGCGCAAAGTACGGCCGGGATCCATTGAAGAAAATCCTTCTCGAAAACAGTGTACCTCAGGATCAAGTGAACAACATTTTAGGACACACTTCGTTTAGCGCTGTCATAGAAAGAAACTCTCATTGGTGGCACGTAATTGAACACCGTCGATACAATGAAATGCAAAATTTCTCGGCTGGCTACTTCAGATTCACGTTTTGCAGCTGAGTGGACGAAGCTCTTCACAAAAGAAAATAACTATGTCTTTAGGACAGGTTTGTAATATTACATAACACATTAGTGATGATTATTCTTATGTTAATGTTGCTGTATACAAATGTAACAATATAAGTGTCTAAGCTTTTTCATAAAATATTTTGTGTAATTTGAAATGCTCAAAAGAGCATTTCTGGCTGGCGAATTGGTGACTAATTGTATGAAAATGTTGTCCACATAACATGTACGGTGCTTTACGGGGAATTATGCTGATGCTTATCCTGCTGCCGCATTCTTCACGTCGTTCGCTTACTGAGTCGCAAATGATTCTCAGTGACACTGCGGATGAAAATTTTCCTTTATATCCCAGGTTACAATGTGTAACGTTTCTAATTTACGATGAATGGCTATCCAGTCGATGTGTTCTTCGAATTACATGTTGTGTTTCAAAAGACTTTGTATTTTTTTTTAACTGAAGAAGACTTTATTTATTGTTACATTCCAACAATTCCAATTGACTCAGCCAATTCTAGCACCAAACGTAAAATATCGACCGAGCATTCAAGCCAGAAAACCTTATCAAGCTGTGTATCCAAATACTAAGCCTAAATTTGCAAGGACGTGTTACGGACTCTTTAGAAATAAAGTAACCAAATATACTGTGTGTGGTTCTTGAGAAATAGATGTTGCAAATCTTCTCACCATGAGTCTTTCTCATGCTTAAAACTACCAGTCAAATAAGAAAGAATTGGTAAATTTGGTCCTAGGGTGATAACCAAAATGCCGTCAAGCCCATTATCAGAGAACTATACAGGCTGCAATATTGATGTAGGATAATGTGAAACCCGCTTCTAAACATTCTGCGTTAGCCCTGACATTTTTAAGAAAAGTAAAATCAGATTTGAAGCAGATGTTTAGGAGGTAATGATATCTGGAGACCTCGACATACAAGGTTTCAGTAACTATTCCTGCCCCGGAAGCTGTAGCTTGCAATCGTTTTTGCCGTCCGAGCTTTTCTCGATGCTACTGACAGTATCACTGCTTTCTTTCGGATAATATCATGTCGTGCACAAGCTACTGCGACCCCGTATACGCGCTAAACGAGTTTTTGCTTTAAAGCAAATGTGGGCTCATAGATATCCAAAATTTCAATCAAAAGAGAGTTTCATGTTATCAAATTATTCGACGGCTTGTAACTGTTGCCGTCGCCGCGAGACATTAGAGTTTGTAGTCGATCTTGGCTTTCGCATTTTACACACTTATTTTGTAGTGTATTGTACATGGTAGCACAATCGCCCCACTTCTCGATGTCCAGTACTGAAAAATCATTGACCAGCAAACATTGTTCAAGTCATCGCTAAAGAGCGTCTTTCTATTAAAAACTATTTCACATTGCTCTCGACCCCTCCGAGGCTCAAAATAGCTCATTTTCCTTGTGTCTTCTCAGACTCGACATTTTTCAGAGTTTTGTATAGGAGCTCGACCCTTCAAATCTTCCAGGTGAATGTAAGGTAGATATGCAGAGGTTTTATGAGCTTCCTTGAATCCACCACATAGGGCGATGCACAGTAGCCAAGAGATCATCGTTTTACACCCAGCTTAAAATAAGATCAATTACATTCAGCATGCCTAACGATTCGCATTTGAGCGAACTTGCTGATAGAAAGCTTTCTCTGTTAGAACGGAAGCCAATTTCTATATGTTGCGATTTTCAAACTTTGACCATGGTCAAACGAATCGGGACAGTGGTCTCTCAGGATAAATCTGTGAGTCACAAGTTGAAAGACCAGGTTCCACGGATGCTGAAGTAGATGCGATTTGTGCTGCAATTAGTGCCATTTCACTGTGAAATCTCTGGACAATGTTAGATATGTTCTCGGGATGGAGATTAAGTATGCACCGCAAAAGGGGGAGCTTGTGTTGAGGCAGATCCAGTTTGTCAAGAGAATGCTCGAGCGATTCGGGCTAATTGAAGCAAATGCTCCGATGGTGTTTGGTCAGGGCTTTACGCAAGACGAATCGCATGAGGTGCACACTAATGATCGGGGCTACCCACAACAAATTAGGTCTGTTTTGTACGTCGACAATGCTACCAAGCCCAACATCAGGGTTGTTTTGTCGAAACACCTGCAGTATCTGGATTCTTCATGTAAAATGCACTGGCGAGCGGCAGTGCGCGTCCTGAACTATCTCAAAAGCACATCTTCACATGGGGTGCGGTTTTTTGCCCCGGAACAAGTAATCAAATCGATATTAAGGCTTATGCAGACACAAATTGGGGAGGCGACAAGCACACGAGTCGCTCAACGTCTGGAGTATTATTGCTGCTAGCAAGTGGGTCGGTAGTATTCAAGAGCAAGCGGCAGATCACGGTGGCTTTGTCATCTGCTGAAGCAGAGTATATGGCACCTGCTTTGTCCAAGCAAGAGGTCATTTGGCTAGGTTTCCTACTGGTTGAGATGGGTTTCAAGGCTGAAGGCCTTACCACGATTCGACTAGACAACATATCTGCGATTTGGATGGCTACCAAGCAAGGTTTCACGCCTCGTGCGTAAAACATTAACCTAATAGCGCATTTCGTGCGAGACCACGTCAAGGCAGGACGCATCAAGCTAGAGCACGTGCCCACGGAGGATCAACTATCCTTTTTCTTTACTAAAGCGACACCTACGCCACGCCTATTGCTCCTATGCCGGAAAAGCGGGATCGACCCTGTGCAAGTTAAGGAGGAGTGTTGAGGTGTTGAGACGCCACGTCACAGCGTTGTGTACGGTGCACAATGGAAGCTTGGAAGTTGAAATGGAACCTTCTCAAAGATCAAGTTTACAAGGTTACAGAGCATGCGTTATTTGTTAGAAGCTGGTTAGGGTTCTGGTAATATAGTACTTTGATTAATA